CTCCCCTCCCTCTCCTCCTCCCCCCTCTTTTACAGATGTGGATGAGTGCCAAGAATATGGTGCAGCGATTTGCGGGGCACAGCGTTGTGAGAACACCCCTGGCTCCTACCGTTGCACACCAGCCTGTGACCCTGGCTATCAGCCCACGCCAGGGGGCGGGTGCCAGGGTGGGTGCCTGTTGGTCAGTGGGTAAGATGTGTGTGTACATGGAGCGGGTCCACAATGGCCTGACTATTTGTGGGTTGCAGATGTGGACGAGTGCCGGAACCGGTCCTTCTGCGGTGCCCATGCTGTGTGCCAGAATCTGCCTGGCTCCTTCCAGTGCCTCTGTGACCAGGGCTACGAGGGGGCACGGGACGGGCGTCACTGCGTGGGTACGGGGCTCTGGGGAGGGGGCAGGATGGGAGGGTGGGGGTGAGGCCGGCCAGGCCCAGTGGTCTCCACATACCTGGAGAAATCAGGGTGTAGAATTTAGATCCTGGATGAGCTCCATATCAGTCAAAAGTGTTTTAGTAGCAAGAGACAAAAGCCTTACTCATTCGTTTTTATTTTTTTTGTGTGTGAGCCTTAATATTTTTTTCCCAATATGTCACAAGAAAAAACTCTAAACACAGCAAATTGAAAGAATTGTAGAATGAACACCAGTATTCCCCCATGATCTAGATTCTATTATTGCCTGATGTGGTACACACCTTTAATCCCAGGAGTTGAGAGGCTGAGGCAGGATTCAAGGCCAGCCTGGGCTACATAGAAAGACCCTGTCTCAAAAAACTAAAGGGAGGAAAAAAAAAACCCAAAATATGTGAGTGAGCTACCAGGGTATAATGGCAGGTCTGTAATCCCAGCACACTAGGAGGCTGAGGCAGGAGGATGTCAAGTTCAAGCCAAGTCTGGGTGATTTAACCAGATCCTGTCTCAAAAAATATATAAAATAAAAAGGTCTGGGGATGTATCTTAGTCCCTGGGTTCAATCCTCAGTACCACCAAAAAAAAAAAAAAAAAGTTGAACTTGGAGGAATACAGGATTCTCAAAAGAAAATTAGGGTTTATTACTAGAATAAAAATGAATGATAAGGTGTAGGCCTTTAAAAATACCCATTATGTTTGAAAGCTCAGACTTCTAGAATCATAGACATTTATAACCATTTTCCCTCTCTTTCCTCTTATATCCTACTCACAGATGTGAATGAGTGTGAAACACTACAGGGTGTGTGCGGAGCTGCCCTGTGTGAGAATGTTGAAGGCTCCTTCCTGTGTGTCTGCCCCACAAGCCCTGAGGAGTTTGACCCCATGACTGGACGCTGCATACCTCCACGAACTTCTGCTGGTAAGACTGATAATGTCTATTTAACTGATGGCTGCTGACCCTATAGGAAAATGTGGTTTGGCCATTCTTCATATAGACAGCTGCCATCAGTTATATGCTTTGTAAAAAAAAATTTTTTTTGATATGAGGGATTGAACTGGGGACCTTGCGCTTATGAGGCAGGCAGTGGAACCACTGAGCTAACTCCCCAGGCCAGTTATATGCTCTTTTAAATAGCAACAAAAAACTTTAGAATGCCTGTGTTTACACAGGTACTAAGACTTTCAGGAGAACTAGATCCTGACCCTGACTCTATCAGATTCCTTTATTCACCAAATGTTTGCAACATCCACTTCATTCTGGCCTGCAGAGGAGCTGAAAGAGGTTCACGAGTCAAACGAGCAAAAGGAAGGGGTGGCGGGAGATGAGGCTGAAGGAGACATACTGCCCCATATCAGTTTAAGAGTTTTCAGCAGGAAAGGTGTCTAATCAAATTTTGAAGCCCTCCTCTGGCTGCCCTGTAACGGTGCTTGACAAGTGACCCAGGAGGCCAGGGAAATCCCCCGGTAGCCACCATACTGGGTAAGACACCCCAGAAGTGTGAGGTGGGGAGGCGAAATATGCAGAAACACTGGCGGTGAGAGTGGCAGAAAGAGATGACAGAGGAGTGACAGGTGTGAACTCTGGTCCTGTCACTGATGGCTCCTGGCCTCAGTTTCCCCACCTATGGCATGGGGGGCCAGGGCTTAACCCACACTGGAATAAAGCTCTGTGTTTTCCTAGGCACCTTCCTAGCATCGCAGCCTCAGGCACCTGCCAGCCCTGGCCTGCCAGCCAGGCCCCCCCTGCCACCTCTGCCCCTCAGACCCAGCCCACCCAGACAGGGCCCTGTGGGCAGCGGGCGCCGGGAGTGCTACTTTGACACGGCAGCCCCAGATGCATGTGACAACATCCTGGCGAGGAACGTGACATGGCAAGAATGCTGCTGCACTGTGGGTGAGGGCTGGGGCAGCGGCTGTCGCATCCAGCAGTGCCCAAGCACCGAGACAGGTGGGCGTGGACTGGTAGGTGGACACAGGGCTGGGGCTTGGGGAGAACCCAAGGGGCATGGCCTGGGAAGAGGACACACTTGGACGTGGGGCCAAGGTACTGGCACTGCCGGGGCAAGAGTGAGCTGTCAGCTCAGGTGGACGTGGCGGGCATGGCATGAGAGCTGGGTGCTGACAGCACAGGTCTGAGGACTTGGGCAGGAGGCAAGTGTGAGCGCTGCAGGGGCTGGGATTCGGGTGTCTAGGCTCAGCCTTGTCTCTGTGTGCAGCCGAGTACCAGTCATTGTGTCCCCACGGCCGGGGCTACCTGGCACCCAGCGGAGACCCGAACCTCCGGAGAGGTGAGGACAGACTTCAACCCTTAGCCTCACACTCAGTTATGCCTGTTTCTTCCTGTTTTCTGTCTCTCCTCCTCCCCTTCTCTTCCCCTTCCTTCGTTCCCTTTCTTCTTTCTTTCCTGTGTTCCTTTTTCCATTACTGGGGATTGAACCTAGGGCCTTTGCGCTGAGCTGTATCCCCATTCCATTTTATTTTATTTTGAGACATGGTCTAGGTTGATAAGTTTTCCAGGCTGGGCTGGAAATTTAGATCATCCTGACTCAGCCTCCCAGAGTGCTTGGATTACTGGCAGAAATACCAGGTTCTTGTTTTCTTTATCTCTGTCACTCACTGTTTCTCTCTGTGGGTCTCCTCCACCCCACCCTTGTCCTCTGTCTCCACTTCTGGGTCTCTACTGCCATCTCTGCCTCAGTCTGTCTTCCCTGGTCATGCGCTGCAGTGACACACTTCTCCGAGGGCCTGACCCCCACCCCACCACCCCCTGTCTCTCTCCACCCGCTCCCGCAGACGTGGACGAATGCCAGCTCTTCCGAGATCAGGTGTGCAAGAGCGGTGTGTGTGTGAACACCGCCCCAGGCTATTCGTGTTACTGCAGCAATGGCTACTACTACTATGCACAGCGGCTGGAGTGCATCGGTATGAGCCCCCGCCCCCACCCTCCCTCGCAACCCTGGCCGCGACAGCCCCACGCTGGAATGTGGCCCTCGCAGCGGGAAGTCCTTCCTGGCGTCTAGACTCCATCTATCACACTGTCAATGCGCCGGGGAGAAACTCTGGTTGGGGTGGGGCGGGTGGAGAGGGCTACCTCAAAACCACCCCCTCTACGCTTCTCTAGATAACGACGAATGCGCCGACGAGGAGCCAGCCTGTGAGGGCGGCCGCTGCGTCAACACGGTGGGCTCCTATCACTGCACGTGTGAGCCCCCACTCGTGCTGGACGGCTCGAGGCGCCGCTGCGTCTCCAACGAGAGCCAGAGCCTCGGTAGCCCCGCCCCCGGGCCCGCCCCCATCTCCCAGGCCCTTACCCCATTAGCTCCACCACCCGTCCCGCCCGAGGGCCACGCCTTCGTGAGAGGCCACGCCCCTGGGGCGCCTGTCTGAGTCACGCCCCTTACGGGCCAACCGGCTGCCCCGAGTTTGGGTCTTTCCGAGGCCCTCTGGCCCGGTGGTTAAAGGCGAAGCTTTTGGTAAAGGGGAAGGCTTTTGCCTTGGCAGTTTGCCAAGTTACTGGCTTGTGTGCGTACGCACGTTGCATATTGCCTCTTGGATCCCAGCTTCCCTTTGGTACACTGGGTGGCTAGCCCCCACCTTACAGAGTAGCATTTTATGTTTAAGGACAGAGCGAAGCCTACTCTTTCTAAATGCTAAATGATTGCTACTTGTTAGTGTTTCTTAGTGTGATCTGTCTCTACTTCTCTGTCCTTTGGTCTTTATTTGTCCTTTTTCTTTGCTTCCAGATTTCTATTTCTCTCCCTCTCTCTCTCTCTCTGCATCTTTGTTTCCTATTTTTTTTTTAAGTTGTTACCTCTTTTGATATGTTCACTTCTGTTTCTTTGGGTCCTTCTTTCACCCTTTTTGTCTCTCTCAAACTCCCCCCCTTAGGCCTCTTGATAGGCTGGTGTCAGGGGACAGGGAGCCAACCTGTGGCAGGTCGGTGCCAGCTGACCCTGGTACTGTCACCTCCTGTAGATGACAATCTAGGAGTGTGCTGGCAGGAGGTGGGGCCTGACCTAGTTTGCAGTCGCCCTCGGCTGGACCGTCAGGCCACCTACACAGAGTGCTGCTGTCTCTACGGTGAAGCCTGGGGCATGGACTGTGCCCTCTGCCCTGCTCAGGACTCAGGTATGGCCACTGAGCTGGGCTGCACCCGGGAGCCCTGCCTCAAAGGCTCCAACCCCCCACCCCAAACTGGGCATCTTAACATCCATGTCACAGCTTGTCCCAAATCTTGGTGCCTATATCACATTTCAAAGACTTTCAATCCTGGATGACAAAATTTCTAAGGTCTGGCTCAGCATATCCCATATTGCAGTCCCATAAGCTCCTGAGGTTGTCTCTTGTACCCCTGATCCCTGGTCTCTCTCTTTTTTTTTTTTTTCATTTTTTTGAGACAGGGTCTCACTATGTAGTTGAGACTGACCTGGAACTCACTATGTAGCCCAGGTTGGTCTCAAACTCACAGTGATCCTCCTGCCTCAGCCTCCTGAGTGCTGGGATTACAGGCGTGTGCCACCGGGTGATCACTGGTCTCTAAAACTCCCAGATACAGCTTGTGAGATACCCTCTCCCAAATCGTGGACCCTTACATCTCAAATACCAATTGCCTAGACCCCACTGCCCCGGTCCACAGACTACCTGTTTATTGCCCCACAGACCTCCGGATCCCATGGCGTTGGGCCCCAATACACAGCCCCGGAGAACTCTGAGTCTCCTTACCCTCTCCCCCTTGGGAACTCAGTCCCAAAGACCGGAGTCCCAGGTCCTCAGATCTCTGGGTCCCGGTGGCCTCTTGGCCCCCAGTAGTAGTCCCTGACCACTCAGTCCTAGTCCCTAAAACACCCGTGGTTCATTTCTTCCAGTCCCTTGTCCTAGCTCCCACAGCCCCCAATTCCAGTACCTAGAACTCTGATCCCAGCACCTCAGTGCCCAGCCCTCGGTCCTGACTCCAAGACCCCCGATCCTGCCCCTCCATCTAGCCCCTTCTTCCAAGCCCCTTGCACCCCCAGCCTCAGCTCAGGGCCCTTTCCATCCTCTGCTCTGGGCTTGTCCTCCTGGGGCTGGGTGAGAGGTGGTGCACAGTTGCAAAAGGGCTGATTGTGTGGCTTGGCTGCTGTTCACAGATGACTTTGAGGCCCTGTGCAATGTGCTGCGCCCCCCTGCATATGGCCCCCCTCGGCGAGGTGGCTTTGGACTTCCCTATGAGTATGGCCCAGACATAGGCCTGCCTTATCAGGGTGTCCCCTACGGGCCTGAGCTGTATGCACCACCTGTGCTTCCCTACGACCCCTACCCACCGCCCCCTGGGCCCTTCGCTCGCCGAGAGGCCCCTTACGGGTCACCGCCCTTCAACCTGCCTGACTTTGAGGACGATGGTGGCCCCTATGGAGGATCGGAGGCTCCTGCCCCACCCAGCCGGGGCACCGGCTGGCCTTATCGGTCCCGAGACACCCGAGGGTCCTTCCCAGAGCCACAGGAGTCGTCTGAAGGTGGAGCCTATGCGGGTGAGCACTGTGGATGGAGATGACGGTGAGGCGTGCAGACAGCGATGAGCGGGGAGGGAGACACAGAAAGTAGGCAGGAGAGGGCCAGGGCCAGGGAACACATAAGGTCAGCAACAGAAAGCAGCTCCGTGAGGAAGATCAGAGAAACACCTGTGGTGAAATGGGAGGAGAAAAGCTAGGAAAGCTGCAGGAGGTAAACCTGGCCCTGTAGTGGGAGAGACAGTTTATTTATTTATTTTGGTACTAGGGATTGAACCCAGGGAATACTTAGCTATACCACCAGCCTTTTTAAAAATTTGAGACAGGATCTAGCTAAATTGCCCAGACTGCCTTCAAATTAGCTATCCTGTCTCAGCCTGCCGAGTGCTAGGATTATAGACGTTCACCACCACGCCAGGCTAAGAGACAGTTTAGAATGAGACCTGCAGAGCCAGGGTCACGGACACTGCAGCGGGGATGAAGGGACGGGAAGAAGATCAAGAGTCACCGTGTTCCTGCGTTCACATAGGCTCCCTGGCTGAGCCCTATGATGGGCTGGAAGCAGAGGAATGCGGGATCCTGGATGGCTGCGCGCATGGCCGCTGCGTGCGCGTCCCCGAAGGTTTCACCTGTGACTGCTTCGATGGCTACCGTCTGGACATAACCCGCATGGCCTGCGTCGGTGAGGGGAGGAGGGGCGAAGGTGGAGCAGAGAGGGCGGAAGCTCTGGCCAACGTCAGAGGGGCCCAGGCAAGGCCCGAGTCCAGGGCACATGCCTTTCTAGGGATGGGGTGTGGTCATTTTTGGAGAATGATGGGGCTCGGTGAAGAAGAGAGGATCAGGATGAGCGGAAGGCAGGACTTGACCACAGGTCTGGGGCTGGGACCGCTAAGGCCTCCTCCTGCCGCCCTGAGCAGTTTACGTGACCTCTTCAGAAAGCCTGTCTTCCCGTCTGTATCGTGTCTGCCTAGTTTAGGCAGGGGCAAAGCGGAGGTATTACACCAGGAACTCCAGATGAGTTGGATAGACCTCTGGCCCAGTCCAGTAACTTCCTGTGTGACCCTGGTCAGTTCACTGTCCCTTGCTTAGCTTTCCTTATCTGAAAAATGGGCATAGTCAGAGAACCCGTTCAGAATTATGAACATCATTAACGCTGATTTACAGTAACACTGAAGCTTGTGTGTAAACCAAGACTCAAAAATGAGAGCTGAGTTCCCCGAAAGCAGCAGGGGAGGGGGACTGGGCTCTCAGACCTGGACGGTGGCCTGGGAATCCACGAGGAGTCTGGGCTCGCAGTGTGACATCGGGAAAGGGCTTTCTAGTGGTGGGTGGGCCTCAGCTTGCACGGATCCAAGTAGCTACCGCCTAGGGTTGTTAAGATGATAAAGTATTTCTCTGCCCCAAGTTCTCCAGGGCCCCGGGAGGCGGGCTTCTGGGTCCCCACCCTTGAGCAGCACCCTTTCCACCGCCTTCCTAGACGTCAACGAGTGTGACGAGGCAGAGGTAGCCTCCCCACTCTGCGTCAACGCGCGCTGTGTCAACACGGATGGCTCCTTCCGCTGCGTCTGCCGCCCAGGATTTGCACCCACGCACCAGCCACACCATTGCG